CCCCCCCCCCATGCCTCTTTGGCTCAGTGATCGGCCACAGGGGGACTTCAGGTGCCTGCCCCCCCCCTCCTCCCCCCCAGGAGGCACCAGTCACTGAGCTGGTGGGGAATTGGGAGAACTCCCAGTACGTTCCACTGGCGGACTGGGAAGTAGACCGGAAGTGCTTCTGGTCCACTTCTGGGTCTGCTGCCAAGTGCTCTGGGGAGCCCCCTGTGCGTTTGTGGGATGCTCCATCCGCCCCAGCATTGCAGCATTCACAGGCCGCCTGCTACCTCGAGGTATGTAGAAAAAACATTTAAAGCTGTGTCTATGTCTGAATCATCAAATCTTTCCAAATTGATTTGGAGGGTTCTGATTCGATTCGGAGAGATTAAAGGGTCCTTTGCATTCGATTTGGATTCGGAGATTTGGCCACCGAATAAGGCTGAATCTCTGCCAGATAGAATCAGGAACCAAAGCTTTACACAGCCCTACTATTTCTCTCTCTCTCTTTACCTGCAACACTCTGCCAAGCATGGGCAATGTGTAGGGGGTGAATGCAGATGCACATGCACCCCCTGAGCGTGGTGGTACACCCTCTGCAAAAATGTGCTGCCGACAGGCAGTCACTGCTCACCACCCTGCTGCCAGCGTCTGCAGGCAGTTAGCAATCCCTGCTGGCCGCTGCTGATGCTGCCAGAGGCACCTGTAGGTGGTTGCTGACCCCTGGTTGGCGCTTGCTACCCTTTCTCCTCCTGCCGCCAACAGTGCTGGCGGTATCTGTGGGAGCTCCGCTCTTAACGCCACCGCACTCCCACCGCTGCCAGTGCAGCCGTGCTCCCCTGCCGGGGGCACGTGTCATTTATGCTGCGAAGTGTCCGATGTGGTTCACTTGGCAGATCAAAGCACACTTTTGACAGTTAAACCTTTAAAAACCTGTTACACAGTTTGCACTGCGTATCTGTGCACCCATTTCCATACCTGTACTCCTACCCCCTGCCCTCCTCAGAGGGCCTGCCCTTGAAAAAGTCTATGCCAGACCCCTCTCTACCATATGAGGTCTGCCATTTTTTTCCTGTCATCCTCTTCTGTCTTCCTGTAGTACCAGTTCTTGGCTGTGGGGTCTGAGAGTCTGTTTATGAGCAGGGTCCTGGCTTTCCACGGTGTATACCTGAAGCAGGATATGAACTGGTTGAAGCGGGCCGTTGGGGCCCCTTGATGTCTAGTTGGGTGCCCGCAGAGAACCACTTCCCTGGCCAGATTTCTGAAACCTGTGGTACCCCTCCAGCCAGAGTCCGCAACTTCTGGAGGAAGCCTGTCCCACAGGCTGGCTGTTCTAGCAGTGAAGAAGTGTTTCTTGCAAGTCCGTCTAAACCTCCTTTGCTGCCGCTTCAAGCCACTGGGCTGCATCCTGCTCTCTGCAGCTAGAGAGAAAAGATGCTTTCCCTCTTCTTTAAGGCAGCCCTTCAGGGATTGGAAGACAGTGAGCATGTCCCCACCCTTAAGCACTTTTTACTGCAAGCTGACCATGCCTGGCTCCTTTAATATGCGACCCTGGATCCCATCTCCTCCACTCTGCACCCGGTGGCTGAGGGGAGCGTGACCTGTCCCGCCAACTTCCTGCTAAGACGGCAGCGACTTTGCAATGCCATGGGGTGCCACTGGGTCTCAGATGACACCCTTCAACTCTTCCACACCTGCACTGGGACATTGCCCTTGCTCTTATATTTGATGCGGAGCAGGTCGGGCGTTGAGGGGAGCTGGGGGTGGCTCTGTAAGAGGGACTGGGGGGCTGGCTCTACATGGGGGGGCTCTGTAAGGCAGAGGCTGACGACATGGCGGGGATCTGTAGCAAGGTTGCTAACTCCGTTTACATCTATTCTGGAGGGTCTGATCACATGACATACTGACATTAATTATGGTGCACAGACTTTAAGTCCGGAAGGCAAATGCACTTGACTATTACATTTAAACAACCCATGGGATATAAATCGGATTCAACATTTAATATTTATTTGAATGAATGCCCTATCATTTATCTCCTGGGTGACTCTCAGCAGTCTCCTCGAGATGTCCATCTAATTCCCGGAGACCCCCAGGCAAGCCTGGAGGGTGGGGTGGGCAACCCTAAAGCAGGGCTGGAGGGCTGGCCCTACATTAGGGGGTGCTGAGGGAGAGCAGGGCACAGTCACGCCGTGCTTTGTGTTGCTAACACGTGTTTCAGGCTGGGCCTTGGCGCTGCCACCACTGCTTTTCATGATCCGCAGCACAGCAGGGCCCGGGCGGGGCAGCACCACGCCCCCCTTCCCCCACGCCTTGGGTCAGGACTACATGTCCCAGCATGCACCACCCCCGCCCCTCCCCGCAGCGCCCGGCAAGATGGCGTCGCCCGCGTCGCCCTTGGTTACTGCGTGCTGCCTGCTCCGGGCCGGGGCCTGGCGCCCTCCAGCCCGCCCGCTGCTGGCCCGCGCTGCCGCCCCGCCGAGAGGTCAGTGCCAGGGGGACGGGACGGGGGTCCTCGTTGTTCCGCACCAGCTCCGCTCCCCCGGGCAGGATGGGGTGGGAGCCGGCTCTTCCCTGCCCCCGCTGGTGTGTCCCGGCCCTTGCCTCCCGCCGGGCGGCTGCGGCGCTGGGGCTGCGGCTGCCCTTGCGTGGCAGCTCTTCGGTGCAGTGCTGGCTCTAGCCGCAGGTGGGTGCGGGCCGGGGTCCCCCTTCTGCCCGGCGCCGGCGTTTACCAAGCCGCTCTCACCGCGCGGAGGGAAGGGCCTGGCCTGGGCGGCTGCTGCTCGCGTAGTGCACCGTCCCACGGGGGAAGGATCTGCTCTGGAAACCTTCTTGGCACAGAAACGTTTAGAAGAGTTTAAGGCCTCGGCCAAAACGAACTCCCCTGCTGGCTGCCAGCCTGCTCAGAAACATAGCATGTGAGGGCTAGAAGGGACCTCAGGGGGGTATCTAGTCCAACCCCCTGCTCAAAACAGAGCCAGCCCCAACTAGATCATGGCAGCCAAAGCTTTGTCTAGCTAGGTTTTGAAAAGCTTCAAGGATGGAGCTTCCACCACCTCTTTGGGTAACCTGTTCCCATGCTTTACTACCTTCCTGCTGAGAAAATAGTTTCTAATATCTGACCTAGACTTCCCTTGCTGCAGCTTGAGACCGTTGCTCCTTGTTCTGTGATCTGCCACCACTGAGAACATACTAGCTCCAAACAGTCTAGCTTAAAACAGAGGCTCCCACTTACAGCACGGATCCATGCCACCTTGCTGGTCCCTGGGCCTATCTTGTCTCACGCCATGTTCCTTTTTGGATTGACATCATCAGTTTGTCCCATGTTGAGTTGGGTTCCTTCGGTGCTGCGGCCACACAGATGGTTGGTAATGTGTTCTGTGGCTGGTTAGTGCTAGACCAGTGCCTTCCAATCTGTTTGACTTAAACCACCCCTTGGACTCCAGGCCCCTTCATAACTTTTGTGAATTGAGTGGCAGCCCATTTTAGAAATGAATTTATAGAACACAGTGCTTGCTCTCTTGCAGAGGGGCCTGGCAGTGGGGGTGGAGGGTTGGCCAGGCAGGGACAAGCCTGAGCCTGCACTTGCCTGCTTAGTTTATCTGCTTATCTCCTCATGCCTCACAGCACCCCTCAAAAGATCTTGCAGCACCGCAGGCTGCCCTGAAACCCTGTTTGAGAATTGTTGGCATAGGCAGTCAATAATCAAAGGATTTAGCTCCTGGGAAGGAAAAGGAAGCAGTGTGGGGTTCTGTGAAAAGTGCTTTATTAACACATATAATCATACACACTAAAATAATTAGCCAGTGGCATATTTAACGTGCCCAATTTAAGTTTCAGACTTACTGCATTGTCATCAGTAGAGTCTCCCTTGTCAGGCTGGTGTTGAACAAGGGGTCTGAGGTCCTGAGCAGCCATTGCTGCTTTGATTTGGTCTCTGTTCATGTTTTCCAGATGTGTCCAACCTTAAGAGCAGAAAATTAAAGAATCTTAACATAGTTTCTGTGACAAGAGGAGGTTTCCATAGCAAATTCTTATGCTGTGGGACTGCGGAATACGTGGGGTGTGAGTAGCAATGGCGCAGCCATACCCTTTTATCAATGTAGTAAGAGAGGCAAGAAGCAGTTTTATAAATGTTGCTGCATATAGATGCTTAATGTGTAGACTATAAAGAGGTTAAGTGATGTGCTCAAGGTCATGCAAGTCTGTGGCAAAGATGAGAAAATAGCCTAAGAATCCCAACTACAAGTTTTCTTGCTTTAATGTCAGCATTGTTCTGCAGTTTGAACCGCTGATGTTAACAAACATATGTAAGATGTCCTTTGTCCACTGAGGTCTCATTTAAAAAAAAAGATGCTGGTGTGGCTTCTGCTGACTTATCCTAGGATTCTTTAACTTGTTTATTTTTAGATAAAAAGAGTAACTGAGGGTTAGGATGCATCTCTCTTTCTCACCCCTGTTGTTTAACGCTTTTGTAAAATGCATTTCAAGATAGTGCTTTATGAGTGTGCTTGCAGGATTTGAGTTTTATTTTTGAATAATTTCAGTAGATTAAAATCAATGGTTATTTTAAGCATTTATTTTGATTTTTATCAATTTAAATTTTTGGGATTGCATGAAATTAAGGGTGTGGGGGCAGCCCATCTAATAATGACAGAATACTGTTAAAAGCTTTATAAAATCACATGTCAAAATATAAAAAGTAAATATCCATAAATCAATAAGCATACTTTCTGTTCATTTGGTAGTACAGTCATGCCAGGCTGGAGCCTTCGCTCTCACAGTGGAGTGCCAGGGCAGGGGCCGGGCTTGGAGGGTATTTGGCACCTGATCCCTGGCTGGGACCTGGGCAGAGTGAGCAGTCAACAGCACCAACCTCTTGGCTGCCAGCCCTGCCTCTGTGCAGGGGGATCCTGCAGTAGTGTCCCACCTTCTAGGCTCTGTCACTAGCAGCTGGCATCTGACCAACCCCCCCTTCCGAGCATGGTCCCCAGCTCCTGAAGCAGCTGCTCAGGCCACTACCACGAGAGCAGAACGCGGGTGTTGCAGCCAGGGCTTCCTCTGCCCCCTCTGTATATGTGTGCATGTACGTGCATATGCACATATGTGTGGCATCCCCTGTCCTGGATTTCCTTACCCTGTTTCCAGACTATTTTTTCTTATGTCCTCTTTCTGTGAATTTTGATTATAACCAATGAAAATATTTGTTCATTGGTCTGTGAGTGTTAGATGAAATTGATGTTAATCTATGTTTAGCATTAAAAATGGTATCCTGCCAAGCCTATTAATGAGTCAGAATAAGGTGTGGCCTCTTCCTTGAAGAGCTTATATTCCAAGGTGCTCATTTACTACAAATGTGTACATGCTTAACTGAAGGCATCTCTCTAACTGTTTTTGAAGTCATCTGAGTCCTAGAAGACAGTGGGATTATTTATATGATTTAAAATAAAACAGAGGTGTACATTTTTACAGAATTATGACCTAAAGCAGACAAGAAAGGAACAGCAGTAATGTATTACAGACTATGAGAGTACAAGGAGTGTGTCTCACTAATACCCTATCTCCTTTGCCAAAACGAGAATGTCAGGGCGCAATGGCCCAACTAGTCTTTTCCCCTCACCTTTCAGAATTATCATGAAAAGACAGAGCTGTGGAAATCCCCCTCTTCCTCTAGAAAAAGAAAAAGATTTAGTAACAGCAGCCCAAAGGGTTGGAGACTAGCCATTTCAATAGTCTTACTTCCTAGGGGCATCTTTACATATGCTCCAGGGCAAGGGCGTGCACTTTAACTAGAGCAGCTCTTTGGAGTCACTGTAATTAAAATGCCTGCGGTGCCTTGTGTATTTAGCATCCCATGCTTCAAAATGGCGCTGGGGGTCTTTTAAGTAAAGCTCATTTGCTGAGCTTTTGTTAAAGTGCCCCTGCTGCCATTTTGAAGTATGGGGATGCTGAATACACATGATGCTGAGGCTGCTGGAGTGTGCTAATTAGCACATGTTGGAGCAGGTGTTGGGCATGTGTATAGGTGCCCTAGGACTTTGGTGTCATGGCTGAAGAAATCCTCCTTCTACCTTTACAGCCGAGTGACAGAGTGCTATGTAAGGGCTGTTGGTTTTTTTAGCTTTCAAGCATTGTTTGGTTCTTTAGTTATTCAAACATAGGTATTTGTCTTCTGGTTGAATTGTTGAGGTGATAAACTAATTTTTTAAAATTATTTTTTCCCCCATTACATTTTTTCATGCAAATTTCAGTGCTTCTGAAAAGCTCTTGAGACAGAATGCTGTCTGCAAAACAATAACAACACAGATGTGCCTGCTATTTTGGCAATATGCCTCAATGCTGGTTTAACAGAATCAGTTCTAGTCTTTGGTCATTCAGTGGTTGGCTACATTTGCTGCTGTGGTTGTCAGTGAGGTGGCTATCACAGTGGTTTTGGATGCATATGTAGGGGTCTTTATGAAAAGTATTTGGATTGTCCTTCCCCAGCAGTTATCAGATGGTAATAAAACCAATTTTTTTATTTGGCAACAGTAGCACATTATCAGTGGAAGTAGTGGTTTCTTTATTATTTACATCTTCAAATCAAAGGATCCCTTTTGGGAAGATGTGTGTTAGCCAGATGCAGGCCATTGGTCTTAATATAGAGCTAACTGAATAAAATTTCAAAGGCTGTGATCGGTGATATGAGGTAGCCATCTGCGTGGTTCTATTCATCCATAAATCAGTGAATGAAAATGATGTCTGATCACTGCTGTACTAGACAACTGGAAAATGTCTTCAGATTGAAGATCTCATTATCAGTTGCTTGAGTTTCTATTCCAACATAATTTTTTGAAAAAAAGAATAATACAACCTCTTCCAGGTATATGATGTCTGGGACTAATCTTCTAGAAGGCAGGGTAGACTTATACTTTACAGATCAACTCAATCAGAGATTCATAAGCCTTCATAAGAAGCAGCTCATTTCATCAGGTGCATCTGATGAAGTAAACTGTTGCTTATGAAGGCTTATGCATCTCTGAGTTGGTGTGTAAGGCAATATTCCCTGCCTTCTGCTTGACTTCAGACTAACTAACTACGTCTCTCCAGGGGGCATGGCTGCATCTGTCTTTCTGACCACATGGTAGGAGCAGCAGTGAAGGACTTTTAAGTTCCGTGGGAAGATAATAATTCCCCCTGCTCCATTCTTCTCCATGCTCAGAAGCATGTCCCCTTCCCTTCCATACCCCCTTTCTTTGCCCGCTGTTGCCACTGTCCTTGCTGTCCTGGGTGTAAGGGATGTTCCTGTCCCACACTAATTGGGCTGCTCGGGCTGGGCTCCACCTGGAACAACAGCAGCAGTAGCAAGCGAGCCGGTTCTCCCAGCCTGGTCTCCCCAGCATTCCCTGCCATTCTGGGAATGGATGCAGGGTTGGGGATCCTGCCTGCCTGCTGCTGCTGTCCTGGTTGAGCCTGCCTGGAGGAGCTGTGGAGCTTCTCTTGCTGGAACAGTGGGGGCAGTGGCAGGTGGGGATCAGTCATGCCCCCTGAGCACGGAAGAGAAGGGGGAGAAATTCTTACCTGCTTTGGGGCCTTAAGAAGTCCTCTATTGCTCTTCCTGTGGCAATATCCGACTGCCCTGAGGGGGGGAGGGGGCTAAGAACAGGAGATGCAGCCACCCCTGCAGAACTGGTAGGTGCTCTTGCATTCTCCTTTATGAAATCCTGCATCTGCTTCAGAACTCTCGCTACTAATTTTCTGTTAACATCTAGGCCTACAACCTACACCTCTGTAGGCCTAAATAGTGACATTCATTTTTGTATAAAAGGACAAAAGTCCCACTTGTGTGTTCTAATTTAATCCCTTCTTCTTTAATGAGATATTTCTTACTTATCATTGTTTTCCTTTTTTTTTTTTATAGTTACTTCTCCATCAAAGCTATAAAGCAGACCTATAATTATAAATGCACTTGTAATGGTTGTTTAATATACATTAAAAATCTAATTACAGTAATGAGTCTTGTAGCCCAAATTTTAATTTAACTCTTAATTAGAAGAGTGAAAAGTGCTTTTCCTAGCAGCATTTTTCCCTATGATCAGCAGGTAGACATTTAAAACTGAATATCTATTTTCTTTGCATAACTGTTGAAAGTTCAGAGCTTGAGTAAAGTTACCAGGTACCTAGTATTCAGAGGATCAAAGCTGTTAATTGGAGTATAACCGAAAAGTTGAGGTGGGGGAGGAGAGTTTATCAGGGATATTTAAGCCCAGCTTCTTTTCTGTTTTACCTCCCAGCTGAAAATTGAGGTAGGGCGCAGGGGGGACTTGGATTACATGTAGATGCTGCTCCTGTTAAGAATTTCTGCAAGGAATTGGGGGTGGGAGTGGGGGGGGGGCATTGCTAGAGTTTCTTCAGTGTACAGACAGGCAGAACCTATTTAGTCTGAAGCCTCAGTAGCACTTTATGATTGCTATAAAATTAAAAAGAGTATTCTGCATCTTGGGCACCCCACAACCTACCTGATTTCTGGGAACAGAGGTGTTTGTCACATCTCTCCTTGAGCCTTCTGAGTGCTGTGAGGCTAGTATGCATTTCCCTCAAGTTCTGTTTTGGTTTGGCCTTTGTGAATCCCTCTTGTGTCCACATGAGCTGCTGACTTGCTTTCACAAGCAACCGGGTGAAACTTGCTATGAGTCTCAACAGCGTCATTGCTGACAAATCATTCCAAAGTTCTTAATAGCTGTATTAAAAACTGCTAGTCTTTCATTCTGCTCCAGCTTAGCAAACCAGAGGGACGCCAGGCTTGGGAAATAGACTCCAATGTTTTATGTTTGGTTCACATTCAGATGATTATCTTTACAACTGTAAACAGTTAAAGGAAAGCTTGGATTCTGCGGAAGTTGTTCTGAGATTCTCCTCTACCAGGGAAATCTTTGTATTTGCGCATGAATATTTCAAACCCTAACTAAGCTCATACGTTCTTATTTGCCTCAGTGTATATATATATATTTTTTTCCTGTCTTCTAATGAAAAGAAATTTCATGTTGTAGCATAATATTTGCCTTGTGGTATTTTAATCAGTAAAGCTGGGGTAGTAAATATTCTGCAGAACAAATTAATGTGGTCAATTGTGCTGTCTGAAATACAATGAGAATCAATTTAAATATGTACATTTTAAGAACAGAAATAAAACATATAAACTGGAGGCAGCTCTAAGCAGAGAATTAATAATTAGAAAGCTTGTTGGTGCATAGGAACATAAAGTTTGTGATGCAGCTTGTTTCTGGGAGTTAATTCTGGTTATGAATAAATATGAAGGTTTCATGTACAGTAAAGCAAAGGCAATGATCGTGTTGCTTTACAAGCTGGTGTGACCATATCTGGAATATTAGACACGGATCTCACAGTTTAAGGGAGCATTATGTAATATAGGATCACCATACATGTGGGATTTTCTGGATATGTCCTCCAATCTCTATCTGGGCAGTTTTTTAAAATATCATCAAATGTCTGGGATTTTGCTTTGCTCATCATTGAAGTTTTTCCCAGCACTTTCCAGCTTGCCCTAGCAAGGAGCTTCTTGGGGCTAGGGGGAGGAAAACTGGAGACAGTGGGCACCACATGCATCTGTGTGGCTTGTGAGTGAGAGGCACCAGGAGGGGTGGGGGACTGTGGGTCAGGAGTGCAGGGCACAGGTAGTGCCCAGGGGACTCTGGATTTGGAGTGAGGGGCATCAACACAGATTTGGGGGGAGGTGGGGAGCAGGATACTGTGGGTTGGGAGTGAAGGGCAGTGGCACAGCCAGGGGTCTATGGGTTGGGAGTGAGGAGCAGCGGCAGGGCTGGGGGGGGTGCTCTGTGGCTTGGGAATGAGGGGTAGGGTAGTAGCATATCTTTGCCCCCCCCCAGTCATATTAACCCCCCTCACCCAACAGGTGTTCTCTTGGAAATATTGTAACCGTATGTAATGCAAAGACTAGAAAATAAGGCTGGAAGAGAAACAGTAGAAACCCAGTTTCTATGCTCTAGAACAGTGGTGCTCAACCTCGTGGGCCTGTGGGCCAGATGAGCAGCATGGGGCTGTGGTGTGGGCTGGGTTGGGCCCCTAGGCCAGGATAGAGTCCTCCACTGCCTCTACCCAGTCCATACTCAGGGATGAGAACCTGTGCCGCCTCCACCCAGCCCCTGCATGCTGGGATTGAGCCCCGTGCCACCTGGCCATGCCTGACCCTGCATGCCATGATTGGGCCCTACACCTCCCTGCTAACTCGATCCAGCATGCTGGGTCATGTTATCTGGCCCCTGGGGTTCCCCGCAGGTCCGGATATTTGACAGCACCGCACCCCTGCCCCCAAATTTTCAGGCCTGTGGGGAACCTGATGGGGGGCTTATTATTGAAAAGATAATAAATACCTCAAACAAGATATAAATAAAAACAACTATTAGAATAAGAAATGGCAAGAAGTTTAAGGTTCTTGAAGAAATCATGTATTGAGGTTTGTGTTGTTCAAGTTAAAACAAAAACAAACTTTGAAACATCAGAACTTTTCATGGAAAAGAAATTCTAAGTTGTGACCTGCTCTATGGTTGGGCTGGTGTGCGTGTACATGTGCAAACATGTTAAAACATGCTACTGAAGTGACTCCCACTTAGGAATGATATTTTAAAAGTTTCTTTAGAGAAATAGAAAACGACTAGCCAATTGCCTGTCAAGAGTGATGGGATGGGGGGGGTGAGGAGTGTGTGGGGATGGAGCCCTGTGGCCCCTCTTCCCCCCCGCCCCATCTGGGCCTGCTTTCCACTTCCCTCCTGCTGCTTGGGGTCTGGGACTGCTCCTCCCCTCCCTGCAACAGCTCCCACCCACCCACCTTACTGGGGAGCTCCTA